ACCTCGAAACGAGGTATCGAGGCCTAATTCTCTCTATTTTTCTGCGGAACGATGCTTCCGTGGAAAAAAGAATTTTCTATCAATTTTTTTTTTTTTTTCTTTTCCTTACCGCATCGTATTCTTGGAAAAGTATTCGGGAAAATATATTAAATATCGCGGATAATGGAAAAAAGGATAATCGTTCGCGAATTCGTTTACATATAAAATAGCGAGCTTCGAGTGCGTTTGTTGTAAAAAAGTAGTTGAAGAAATTTGGGGACGGTCAGCTTGTTTCTTTTTCCAGTAAATGTAGCAGGAGGGAAGTTGAAAATTACAAGATTTAAATTTTTAAGTAATTAATAATATATCATAGACGTTAATTTTAATAAATGACGAGCGCCGCTATTCTTGAAATAAATAATTTCATCGAAATAATATTCGCGAATATAACGAAGAAAATGATTACATTATTAACGTTGTATTAATCACTTCGAGTCTATATTAGAAATAATAAAAGCGAATTATAATGTTATTAATTACATCGATTAATATTTTCTTTTTATCTTAATAATATTATTTCTTATTTCGTATAACATTACTCGGTCGACCGATCAACGTGGTGGAACGTGAAACGCCGTAGAGAAATTTTCCACGAGGAAAGCTTCCAATTAACGGAAAAGATTCGTCCATGGTACGTATCCGGTGAAACGAACAAAAATTTCATCGTAATTTTCTCCCTGTTTCCTCACGTTTCGTCTCACGTTTCGAACACAGTTTATATTGCCTCGTTAAACGAATCGTGTAAGGAGGATACTCCTCGTGTCATAAGCGATCCATTTCCGCGCTTTCTGTTACGAGCAGAAACGTGCACACACTATGTTTTACACTCTGCACTGTTCTCGTGAAAAACTGATACATCCTCGTGATTCACTTGTCAGCGATATTATCAACTTGAATGATGCCCGCACTGTCGTTAAGAGCACGATAAATGTATGAGAATCGTAATAGTTTCTAAATTGAGTAATAAAGCGATACAGTGTGTATATATATATATATATATATATTACCTATGTATATAGTTCTTGTTGCATCATCATGTGTAAACTGTTTATTTCTATTCAGTTTCCTACAAAAAGTTTAATTTTTTTCAATTTAGTATTTATCATTAAAAGATAAATAAATAATAATTGGTGGGAAGTATTTAAATTTTCGTTATTGATTCATCTATTAATTTATCTATCTCTTAATATCCAAATTATGTGATAAATTCCTTGAGTGTATGGATAATTGTTATTTTATTCTTAATTTTAAATTAATTTTAACTCGATAGTGGTACAAATAATTTTTACGTTATTTATGTCATTATGATTCTCAACCGTCTAATTATTTATGTAATAATTTCTAATAATTATTTTGAATAATGTTGTGAAAATTTGGCAGAGATTGTTTGTCAAGAAATTATTAACAAAAATATTTCATGAAAATAATTTAGAGATTAAATCAGATTAATTTCAATCAGGTTTAAACGTTGTAAACAATTGACAGTGGCTAAATTAAGAAAATTAGGTTAAACTCAATGCAAATCGATTAACAGTTAAACGAATTTTTATTTAATTTTGATTTGAGAATGAAATTAAACTTAAAATTAACATAAGATAATTGATGTCGAACAAAAATTTGTTTAATTTCTGGTTTTATGATTTATATTATAGATTAGATTAATAACCTAACCTAACCTAAACTTAACCTAAACTCGAACCATTTTCGATAATAACTTTCTAAATAATAAATGACCACCATTTATTAAATAATAAATACAACACTATTCTATGATAACCTTGACACATGTTAAAAAATCATTAAAATGAGAGACTGATATCTTTTTGTAAATATTTACCTTGCATTGTACTTCATGCTGTACAATATACCATAGACTTACACAAGTTATCGAATTGCGCACTCTCTACGCTCTGCTGACACAAAAACAACCGTATTTCGTTCACAACAATTACAATTTAGTCACAAGTTGTTCCCAGAACGGGAATAAACCCGAGTAACCTCTTCCTCTACGATCATCTCTTCTTTATTCCCGATATGCGCGATGAAGACGTACGAGTTACAAAGAAATCCATATTTGCATTTGAAAGGCTGGTTGCACACGTTTGAAATCCGTTCAGAAAAGCGGAAATAATCGGTAGGATCGTGGAACTCGCCTCTCTGCGAGGAATTTTAATTAGTCGTTCCTATGTATCTCGCGATTCGATTATCGATCCCAGCGCGAGTGACGCGAGTCACGTAAGCGGCCGTCGATAAATTTCACGAAACGCCACGTCGTCGAATAAGTTTGCAAGCTGGGAATCGACGTGTCGTCGTGCACGGACAAAAGCTCTAGTGTGTCTCTTCTACGAGGTTTCTACGCTCTTGCTATCGTGTACCGTAAATAAACAGTGTGTTGGAGATTCGTTTAAGAAGGATCGTTGATGGAATGCCTGCAACGAAGAAGAGTCAATTTACGCTCGATATACATTTTCGAAGAGACCGCACACGATTAATGATATTATAGCGAGCGATAATATCGAGCGAAAATATTGACAATAATGTTTTAAACATTGTTTTAATATATAATATTTTTAATCTTGCTCGATATTCGAGATGACCAATAATATTTTCAATTCTTTATAGATAGTGGCAATATTGTTGATCGTATGGGAGCAATTCGTGCGACGTTTATATACGATTATACTGTTATTATTAACAAGAATCCTACGAGATTATTATCGAATAAATTCTTGTCGAACCATCGTGTTCGTTTTAATCGTTACTCGATTATTTGGATAAAGTTTTATCCCAAGTATTATTAAACGTAATAATAATGGAAAAAATATATTGTTGAACATATAAGGACGATTTATGCGATATTTTATCTTTACAATTATTTTTACAAGAGAAATTCGAATAATTGAATTGGTAATATAATAAAAACTCGTTGCAATTAGTTGAATATTAATTACGATTTGCTTTCGACCAATGCGTATCGCTCCAGTTTATTTTCTAATTAAATCGTAGCCTCCATATCTCGTTCCGTACATCGATACTGTTCAATCGAACGAAAATTGAAACACGTGTACGATTGCGATCGCTACGAATATCGTTAAATTAACGAACCAAGTCACGGGTATGCGCGTAAGCTAACCTAAAAGGATACAGATGTTCACCGATGTTGACGTCAAAAATTGAATATTATCGAAGGGACGAATATTGTATAGAAATTTCATTAACATAATTTCAATAAATAATCGGGCCACGAGTAATTTGTGAAAATGAAAATCAAACATTCAACACCGTTGAACTGTTGTCAAGTTGGCGTAAGACGAAGTTAACTCGATATCACCGTACAAAAGGAACAACCACTTCATGATTTCATGCTCGCTCGCTTACCGATGTATCATCAACGTTAACAGCCTCGTTCCATCACGTCGAGTTTAATGGTTTAATAACTGAAATTGAAAAGTCGAGCACTATCGGTAACGAAACGAGACACACGGTCGATAATTATAACCTTTGTTTCACAAAATTATTTTCCAAAGGTAAATAACGCAACTATTAACGCCATATTATCTAACAATCGGATCTTTTTTCTTTCTCGTTGTTCACTTTAATTAACCAGGTAATTCTCGCGACCGATCACCAAATAAGCGAACAGCAAACAGACGGTAGCCGACGGCACTCGTGAAAATTAATCCTATGCACGAGGTAAAGTGGGCAGCCCGTGTACAAAGGATATCCATAACTCTGTCGATAATTTTCGGATTCCTGATTAATTGCGGGCGCCCCCACGGTGCACAACGACACACGCGAGCCCGACTACACACGGTTTACTCTTGTTGACACTTTTGCACGCGATAAATCACGCGAGTCACGAGAAGTTGCGAGAACCAGTTGCTACCGATCCCCGCCGTTCGATACCCCCCCCTTGGGGGGGAAAAAAGCCACCATAGTTTTGCGCCTTTCACGTTCCCTGCCGCGTTTGCGTTTTATAGAATTCAAGAGTGGCTTTGTAAATATTTCAAAAGTTCGAAACCTGAGTGCGCGCAAAAATTAACGAATTCCTTTGAAACGAGTTTGCGAGGTTATGTTTTTTTTTTTTTTTGGACAGAGAGAAAGAGAGAGGGGAGAGGAATTCGTCTACCAGAGAAGAAAATTCGTTTATCGAAACATCTGTAAAATCGAAAGAGAGCAAGTTCGAATAAAAGGCGAATATAACGCCTTTTGTGGATCGAATTATCGTATCTCGAATGAAACTTTGCGAAACGAGAAGATCTTCGTGATAATTCATTTCACAAAGCGATACTTTCATTGTACGATTAATACGAAATGGGAAATAACAGATTTTTACCCTCTCGATATTTTATCCAATTTGCTCGTAATTTCACGTTCTGTGGAAACGTGACCGTGGACGTGATTTATTTAAACGCGACCCCCTCGCCACGCGACAGGCGGCGTCATTCGATCCAGGTTAAGAGATTTTAATTCCTGCCGGTTCTGTTTCCCGTGAAGCCGCTTAATGAACACGCTCCGCGCGATAAATCAGGTTTGTCACGTGTAATTTTTACGAATTATCCGCTATACTTTTTCAAAATATAATTTTACATTCAATCCATCGAAAATAATTCAAATTTTATTTAGATCATTTTACCGATAGTGTCAATTGTCCGATTTGATTCTGATATTTGGTCGTTTGTTTACAACGCATGATCATAAAGAACGATTATCAGAATTCTAAGCGGATAATTATTGCTAGTCATTTCCTCTTTACGTCACAATATCGTCGTCAGATACACATAAATTAATAACTAGATTGTTTAAATTCGAACTAGATAAAAACGATCTGCCTCGATACTCGTAACGTAGGTAATTAAATTTCTCACGTTTTGCAGCATTACACCGATCGAATATCATCTCTTCTTTTTCAAGAAACGAGGATACTCGATGGGAAAATAGACGTGGTTGCGTGTACGTACCAGTGGCGGCGAATCGCGTAGTGGACACGTGGTAACAGCGGCGATGGAACACTATTCCGAAACACCTGCGCGCACGTTGCTCCGCACAAACGAATCGCGACGAGGATGCAACACACTGGATATCTCTCGACACTGTACCGCCGCACAGTCTCTCTCTCTCCCTGCCTCCCCCGCGGGCCCACCTCCTCTTTCACGACGAGCGACGTTCGCGTGGCGGCGGTTCATCAGCTCCGCCGGTTCATCACCCAACGGTTCACTTTTCGCCGGAAGTGGCTATGTGGATCACGAAAACGCGCGCCTCCAGAACCGCTCTCGTGGGGGAGGGCCCGATACCGCGAGTAGGGGGAGTGCGAGGGACCACCGCCTGCTGCGACCACGGTGGGGGGGAGAAGAGATCACCGGAGAACCTTAGAAGCGGAGGAAAAGGACCGTGGAGGAGAGAAAACGTTGTAGGGAAATGGGATAGACGGTTAGAGAGAGAGAGAGAGAAGAGAAAGAAAAGAAGAAGAGAGAGAAGAGAGAGAAGCGAGACACGCGGCAAGCGGGAAAGGACGAAAAGGGAACGAGATGTTTGGGGGGTGGGTGGAGTGAGGAAGAAGGATAATAGTCGCGGAGGGAGACAGGTACGAAGACGGAAAGGAGGCGAGAGAGACAGGAAGATAGAGCGAGGAGGGGGAAGCAGAATAGAGAGAGAGAAAGAGAAGGAAACAGAAATGACGGAACACGGATGCCGGGTCCGGCGGAGAAGTCGTGGGCACGATCGCCGTCACAACACTAGCGGTCTGGTGGTACACTCTTCCGATGCTACGTACACACACGCTCCTCTCCGCCGTTCTCTCTCCATCTCGTTCTCTCTTCTCGATCGAGTGGCCCTGTGCGCGCTCGCCTTCCTCCCGCTCTCCTATGCTATATACATATACACACGAGACTCTCTCGACTTCTATCCACGTATACGCGTACGTGTATACACACAATATATATATATATATATATATATATATATATATATATATATANACACACACACAACGTA